GGAATGCCTATTTTAAAAAGAGAAACTATCCACACTGCCATATCAGAAGCTCTTATGGAACATGGTAACATTATTGAGATTGCTCCTGTCTTAATCTCCAATACTAATCTTTTAACCCCAAAATGGGATGTTGTTATTGAACCAAACCATAAAAAACCCATTCCTACTTCACTAACTATCCTTGAATCAACTGTTGTACTAACTTGGGTTAACTCCCCTAAAGTTTGTCTCCACTGTAAAAAAGATGGTCATCTACATACTAAATGTCCTGAAAAAAACTTCCCAAAACATCCTGTAACTAACATTGCATCACTTCAACCTACTAACACTCTTTCATCTCATACAGAAAATTCAAATGCTCATATCAGTACACATAAGCCTGCTAACTCTCAATTTTCTTCCCCTAAAACCCCAAATAGTAATCTCTCTTTTGACAACAATTCAAATCAATCAACAAATCAACACTCTGTTACAGAAACCAACACTTCTAATTCTTTACCAACATCTTACAACACTGCAATGAATTCATATTCACCAGATAATCATACAATCAACAATACAGATGTCGTCATGCAAATTGACACAACAATGTCATCTCCAGTATCTCAATCTAATGATATTCACTCATCAATCCATGCTCCTTCAGCAATGAACAATGAAAATAGTCATAAGAAAATGGAATCTGAATATACATCAACTAATTTCTCAGAAAACATGTCTATAGATCCAGTTGACCCCTCCACTCTCTCTGGACCAAACTACAACCCTTCTGATCCCACCCCTTTCTTAAATATACCTTCATCTAAGAAATATAACCTCCGTTCTACCACCACCAACTAAATACATTCTATTAACATATGATTATGAATATTATCTCATTAAACACTGCTGGTTTGAACTATAATAAGCTTTCTTCAATCATTCACACTTTTAAATTTTTTCACCCTATTGCAATATGCTTACAAGAAACCTTTACTTCTTCTTCTTTTCCTTTAAATTCTTTTGAACAATCTCGTCTCTCTCAACTATGGTCAGGCCAAATCTACTTCTCAAAACACCTTGTTACTCTTATATCCCACAATTTTAAATCTACCCTCTTTTTTATTTCTTCAGATCAACGTATTATGGACATTACTATTTCTTCATCATCTTCCTCTTTTAATTTAAGAAACATATATGCTCCTGCAGATTTCTCTCTCAATCGTTCTTTCTGGCATTCTTTTCCCCCTATTCCCTCCTCTCCAATTATTGTTGCTGGTGACTTTAATACTGCTGTTTCTCTAAGAGATCGTTGGAATTCAAACTCTAATACATTTCACTCCCCTTTCTCATCCCTTATGCCTACTCATTTTCCTAACCTGGTTGATCTAGCTTCCTCTTCACAATATCCTAAGTTTACCTTTTTCAGAAACTACTCTTCATACTCCTCAAAATCTCGCATTGATTTTATCTTATTATCCCCTTCTCTTATTAAACCTACCCACTCTTCTTTCACTCATTTTGTTCCTTTTTCAGATCATAGAGCAGTAATAATTAAACAATCTCCTATACCTCATTCAACCCCACTTCATTGGAAAATGAATACATCCTATCTCTGCAATAGTGAGATACAAGATAACATATCTAATATTCTTCTTTCACACACCCCTCCATCCTCTCCTTCAGATTGGGACTTATGCAAACAAGAAATTTCCACATATTATCGCTCTATATCTGCTTCCTTTTCTAAAAAATCCAGATCAGCCATTATTAATCTTTCTAATAGGATAGTTAAGCTTCAAAACTCTCCCCATCCTAATAATACTGAAATTATTCATCTCAAAAAGGCACTTTCTAAACTCCAGCACAAACAAACAATCTCCCTTGCCATTAGATCCCGTGTACGCTGGTTTGAACAAGGAGA